CACTTATTGTAATTTAGTTGCAGACATAAAGAATCAAATTTGGCTTTGATTTCTTAACTCTCAAATCAACGTAAATACAATATCTGCCTAACCAGAGACTTATCCAAACACCAACCTTGTTTAATTAGTTGAACCTCTAACTGAGCTCATTTCAACAAGCAGATACAGTACTTTTAGACAACACATGCTGACAAACAAAAGCATTAGAGACCAAGCATGCTCTTGTGGTGCAGTGATAGTGTCCCTACCTGAGCCAGAGGCCCGGGTTCAAGTTCCACCTGCTCCAGAAGTTTCATAACATGTCTGAACAGGTTGATAAAAATATCTACAAATTGAGGAATTACTCCATTTCAAGACCATGAAATAAAACTCTTGAAGAACACATTGCACCTACAGAAAGAAATCATTCCTGTTCAAAATTTTCACAGGTTAACTTATGGTTGTGCACACGACCTTTGTAAAACATGTTTTTTAAAAAGGCCATTCCTGGTAAAATGCAGCACTTGTTAGGGGTTTCTGACCTTGCTATTGTCGGCATCCTAAAACATCATGACTTGTGAGAATTCTAATTCAGAGGAATTATCACCTGCTATCTCAAATTAATTACATTTGAGGGTGTAATAAAGTTAAATGGGGACTTTCCCCAGTTGGCCACTGCATAACATTCAAGTAAATACCAAAAATGAAGAACAGAGATCAGATATTGCTAACACATCCAAACCATAATGTTTCCACTTGGAGACGTGACAAGCCTTTTTTCTCCAAATATAAAAACACTGTTTAGATTTTTCATATTTAGTCTAAGCTTCTGCGTGTATGCTATTCCTCTTCCGTATCTTTTGCAGAGAATAATCACTATTTCTCATCATCATCTTAGTTATCGATATTCATACGCAAAATTAAAGCATACAAGATTGGACGTGGCGTACCGAAATGGATTGAGAACCAGCTGAGAACAGGAATCAGAGACTCGGAATAAACGGGTCTTTTCTTGACTGGCAGACAGTGACTAGCAGGACACCGCTGGGATTTGTGATTGCGCCCCAGCGAGTCACAGTATATATCAATGACTTGGATGAGGAAACTGCATCATATCATCATGTTTGCAGATGATACAAAGCTGGATGGGAACTTATGCCGTGAGAAGGATGCAGAGAAACTTCAGTGTGATTTGGACTAGTATGTAGTGGGCAAGTACATGGAGGGTGCGGTATACTGTGAATAAATGTGAGATTATCCACTTTGGTAGCAAAAGCAGGCAAGCAGATTTTCTGAATGGTTGTAGATTCGGAAAGGTGGAAGTACAATGAGACCTGGGTGCCCTCGTACACCAGTTGCTGGCGGGTAGGTGCAGCAAGGTGAAGGCAGCAAATGGGATGTTGGCCTTTGTAGCAAGAACATTCGAGTATAGCAGCAGGAATGTTTTGCTGCAACTGTACAGAATATGGGCAAGGTCACATCTGGAATACTGCATGGAGGTTTGGTTTCCTTATCTGAGAATGAACGCTCTGGCAATTGAGAACGCAAAAAAGGTTTACCTAACTGACTCCAGGGATGGCAGGACTGACGTACAGCAATAGACTGAAATTGGTTAGGACTATATTCATTAGAGCTTAGAAGAATTAGGGGGCACAGACACCTATAAAACCCACAGACAGCATAGACGTAGGAAGGACGTTTCAACGACTGGAGCGTTCAGAACCAGAGGTCACAGTCTACAGAAAAGAGGTAGGCTTTTTAGGATGGAGATGAGGAGAAATTTCTTCACGCAGAAAGTAGTGAGCCTGTGGAATTCTCAATCACAGGAAACTGTCAAGAAAGATAGGGTTAGGGTTAGGATTGAATGGATCAAAAGATATTGGGAAAAAGCAGGAGCAGGGTTTGATGTTCAGGCATGGTCATACTGAATGGTGGAGCAGGCTCAAAAGGCCAAATGGCATACTCTTGCTCCTATATTCTGTTTCTCCCCTTTACAAGACTCCATTGATCCATCTATTAGAGAAAAAAGTTCAAAAAGTGTATTAAAATGGGGAAAATGTTGGAATACTGGAACTGAAATCAAAACTTGATTTAGATACAATTATTTAACTGCTATCGATGCCCAAATTCTAATATTTACATAAAATAGTTCACCGTCTTTAAAGCTGCACATGAAAAGGCAGAAAAATGAGAAGCATTGCTCTTCTCTGACAAATGGCTGAATTTTCCTAATTGCTTCCCCCTCCCCAAAAAAGTGAAGAAAATATACCTTGAGAGCAAATTTGCAAGTAATATAAAGACAGATAGCAAGCGCTTCTTTAAATATGAAAAAAAAGCCAAAATGAACAAAGGCCCCTTACAGAATTAGTCTAGGGAATTTGTGATAGGGGAAATTGGAAATGGCACACGAGTTGCATAAATACTTTGCATTAGATTCCTTAGTAGAAGACACTAACAGCATCCCAAAATTAATAAATATTCAAGGGACAAAAAATAAATATAATAACTATCACTAGAGAAAAAAGTGCTATAGAAACTAATGGGACTAAAGACCTGCTGACATGCATTCTAGAATATTAAAGGAGCTAACTACAGAGACTATGATGCACTGGTAATAATCTTCCAGGAATTCTCAGATTCTGCTAAAGTCCCAGAGGATTGGAAAACTGTCAGTGAAGGGGAAAATTACTCCTCACAAATTTGCGAGAATTCTTTGAGGAGTTAACAAGTAGCATCGAAGTTGTGGATGCAAGATATTTGGACGTTCAAAGTGTTTCAAGAGGTACCACACATTAGACTACTTAGAATCATAGAATTAATACAATGCAGAAAGAGGCCAACCAGCCCAACGAGTCCACACCGACCGTCTGAACAGCATCCCACCCAGACCCAGCATCCCCTACCCATTCACGTTTTTACCATGGTTAACCCACCTAGCCTACACGTCCCTGCACACTACGGGCAACTTAGCATGGCCAATCCACCTAACATGCACATCTCTGGACTGTGGGAGAAAACTGGAGAAACCCATGGTGGAAACCCATGCAGACACGGGGAGAATGTGCAAATTCCACAGAAACAGTCACCCAAGGCCAGAACTGAACCCAGGTCCCTGGCAGGGTGTTGCAGCAGTGTTAACCAATGGGCCACCATGCCACCCACTTCACTAAAGCTCATGATGCTGGAAGTAGTGTACTAGCATGGAGAGAGGATTGGCTAACTAATAGAAGACACAGAGTTAGAATAAAGGGGGATTACAACCTATTACTCGTGGTGTGCCACAGGGATCAGTGCTGGGGCCTAATTACTTACAATATATATTGATTTGGGTGAGTAAAGTGAATGTACTATCACCAAGCTAAAGGATGACACAAACAGAGTGGGAAGGCAAACGGTGAGGATGACAAAGTCTGCAAAGATATAGACAAGTTAGTGGGCAAAAACTTGGCAGATGGCGTATCAAGTGGGAAAATGAGAGATTATGCATTTTTGGCAGGAAGAATAGAAGTGTTAAATATTAATTAAATGGAGGAAAAGACTGCAGAAAGTTACAGAACAGAGGATTTGGAAGTCAATGTCCATGAATTATAAAAAGCTAGGATCCAAGTTCGGCGGGTAAAAGGGAAGGTAAGTAGAATGCTGACCTTTATTTCAAAGGGAATTGAATATTTAAATGAACAGTTTACTAAAAAGTACAGGCATTAGTCAGACTACAGCTGGAATACTGTGAACAATTCTGGGCCCCTTATTTCAGGAAAGATGTAGTGATATTGCAGTCAGTTCAGCGAAGGTTCACTAGGTTGATACCAGATATGGAGGGAGTGTCTTATGAGAAAGATGGAATAAATTGGGCCCATTCTTGTTGCAATATCGAAGAATGAGATTCTTTGAAGACTTGACAGGGTAGATGCAGAAAGGTTCCTTCCCCAAGTAGGACAGTCCAGGACCACAAGACATAATTTCAGAATAAGCGATCACATACTTCAGATAGAAATTAGGAAGAATTTCTTTTCAGAGCGTTGTGAATCTTTGGAATTCTCTAACGCAAAGGGCTGTTAAGACTGGGTCATTAAGATATTCAAGGCTGAGATAGACATATTTTTAAATCAGTAAGGGAATCAAGGGTTCTGGGGAAAAGGCAGGAAATTGGAGTTGAGGACGATCAGATCGAGGATGATCAGATCAGGCATGATCTCAGTGAATGGCACAGCAGACTCGATGGGTTGAATGGCCTACTTCTGTTCCTATGTTTTATAGACTTCCAGGTTGCTTCTCTCTTTCTCTGCATGGCTGTATGGCATTGCCATAATTGGTAGTCTCTGTCTCTGCCTTTACGCCTCATTGAATGGACAGGACCACAGCATTTGATCGGTTGGGAGCTACGTGCGTTCGCGTGTTTTAGTGAAATTCCAAAGCTTACAACTTGATTAGGAAATAGTTCAGGAAGTTTTTCTTTTAAGAATGAACTAAATGTAATGTTTAAGCAAATATATCAAGGAAGAAAGCAGGAGTTTAAAAATATGAGTACACGTGAAAATTGAAAAGCAAAAGTTGTTTATTCTTTTGTGTAACTGATCATTAGGATGTCATCTGTTTCTATTAGCTAATTTATTACATGGCTAGCACAGACCAATCAACGAGTCTTTAGGAAACTAAAGACTCTCAAATTTAAGAATATACAGTCACGTTCTAGGATATTTTACATTACAGGAAAGACTGGTAAGACTTGCATTATGTTTCTATGCTAAGACCAGATACATAGCAATGCATTAATAGGAACATTAATTTTGAACATAAAGACAAATAGGAAAATTAGTATACAATATAATTAATTCATTTTTACAGAACGACAAATCAAAATTTGTCTGAGATAGTATCATACTTCCTCATTTCACACAGATCAAGATCTGCTCTTCAATTTGGTGGTTAGAAATCTCTGCAGTTGGTCTTCTTTCATTATTGAATTATTTATTTCAGGCAAAATGAAATAAAACAAGCAAAACAGATACTGAAAATATTACCTGTGTTATCTGGAGAGCTCATGATTCACCTGGTCTCACTGGAAATCCTGCCACACAATATGTTTGTTTACTACACAAATCAGTGGATCCTGCTGAGATTGAAGACAATGCGAATACTCCCGCTTTTCTACATTAGGCTGGCATCTCTTCTCACATCAGGCACAATTAATTCTTCAAAATCGGGTGCTGTACATTCAAACAGAAACAAAAACATTAATATATTTTGCACTGCAGCACTTAGATACACAAAATAATTCACTTTGGCAACAAGAAAAAGTATACTTTAATAGATAATATGTGCAAAATACACTTCAGAGATAACTAGAATATGCAACTTGCCTCTTTTCTGCATGCAACATATGATTTTAAATGTACTGATCTATACACTTAAACATTTTATCTTCGTATGCAAGTCGCTCCATTTTTTTTTTCCTATTTTAAGTTCCATAGCAAGTAATTGAAATGCCTATGTAAACTTATCACGCTGTGATTAACAGTGACAGTGCAATTTAACTGTCTTGCAACCGTTAGCTCTTGAACTTTGACTGCAGATCAATCCCTATGTCCCAAACAATTCTACAACTGTTTCACAAATTGATCAATTTTGCTAATCAGCTATAAAGAATACGATTTAATCAAATATTAGAAAATGATTAAAGTTGAGACTTAATTAAGCCTCTCCTTTGCGGTGCAGTTATCCCACACTCCAAAACTATTTAGAAGCACAGAAGTCATCTAACTGTACCCACACAGTTTGAGAGCAATATATCAAAGAAAACTTTCTGTATGGTGCAAAGTTTGTTTAGGTGCTTCCGCCACAATGCTTTTAAAATACATAATCTGACATACTCACTTACCCTCTGAACAACTGGGAACAATATTATACACCATCTGTTAATACAAAAAGTCACTGCAAAATGTCATAGAATGATAGAATCTCTAGAGTGTGGAAACAGGCCATTCAGCCCCTCACGTCTATACTGGCCCTCCAAAGAGCATCCCACCCTATCCCTGTAACCCTACAATTCCAAAGGCTAATCTACCTCGCCTACACATCCCTGGACACTACAGGCAATTTTGCATGGCCAGTCCCGCAACCCGCACATCTTTGGACTGTAGGAGGAAACCCATGCAGACACAGGAAGAACATGCAAACTCCACACAGACAGTCACCCGAGGGTGGAAACGAACCTGGGTCCCTGGCGCTGAGAGGCAGCGGTGCTAACCACTGAGCTACCGTGACGCCCAAATATTATGAGATGTTAGATAAGAAACGTTCCAGGCTTTATACTTCATTGTCGATCTGAACTTCTGATTCTTATCCAGCTGGTAATAAATCTTTGTGTATGTATGAACGTGCGGCAAGGACAGTCACAACTAAATACTTTTGCCTGCCAACATTCGCTATCCATTTTCACAGATGGACAAAAACCAGTCATGCAGTGGAAATGTGCAGTGCATTACCCAACTGTCAAAGTAACCAGTGTTGGATTTTTTTAAATGCAAAGTGTGAATTCCGTACTTTTAACAAAGATATATTGTTTGAAATAATCATAAGAACAGGACAATTTGCACTTTCATAGCACTTCTGGTATAACAAGGTTTTGTAAGGCATCAGACATATTAGCTAAAAGACATATGGAAGAACATGAAAGAGAGGTAAGAAAAGTCAAAAGGATGGTCAATAAAGTACATTGTACAGGAGATACCACTGACCAGAAAACCTAACTTCTCACCCCCAGCTTTACATATTAATGTAAAATCAGCTGTCTTTAATTCATCCACCTGAAGCTGGATTACAAAATGACAAGCTCTGACAAATGCAGCAATCTAAATTAAGTGTGAAGAAATAAGAAAGACAAAAGCAGTTTTTAAAAAAACAAAAAAAGGACTGAAGCTGGAAATCAGAAACAAAAACAGAAATTGCTGGTAAACTCAGTTGGTCTGGCAGCATCTGTGGAGAGAAAGTGTAAAAGTTTTGAGTCCAGTGACCCTTCTTCAGAATTGATGTAGCTAGGAAAACGTTAATATACACGCTAAAGATGGGATGGAGATGGAGGCCAGAGAGAGAAAAACAGTTGGACAAAGGACTGGGTAATGGTCACCCTGGGAGAATCAACAGCTGCTAATGGGGACCATTAGTGGCTGACATAGAGTTGTTTGTGGTATCAGCCCATGTCAATGACAAGGTCCATTCTGTTGAGGTTGGGTTAAAGGACATGGGAGAAGGTGCTCAAGTTCTAAAATTATTGAACTCTGTACAGAATCCGGAAGGCTGCAGGGTTCCCAAGCAGAAAATGAGGTGCTGGTCTTCCAGCTTGTGTTAAGCTCTGCTGGAGCACTGCAGCAAGTCCAAGAAAGCGATGCTGGGCAGGGTACATGGCGGTGTGAAGTGGCAGGCAACTGGAAACTCAAGGTCACTTTTGCAGATAGAATGTAGGTGTTCTGCAAATACAAAACAATGTTGCCTAATCACTGCATGGCATAAATGAAACAAGTACGAAGGGCTAAATGGCTTTTTTCTACGCTACATCATTTTGATTTTAAAACTTGAAGTTATCTGTCAGATAAAGATAACAGACAAAATCCTGAAAAAGTTATGGAAAAGTATCTGGCAAGTCCCACCTGCCCCAGAGATCAATCATAACACGTTTAAACATGCTGATTCAAAATATATATGCACAAGTTAAAGACATCCAGAGTCCAGAGCAAGCTTTAAGTCCCTCTTCTGCAAAGATTCTTTATGCAGTTCTGGAATGTAAATGTAGCAAAGGAAAAGCCTAAATGAACCAAATCAAATGACAGAAATTAGATTTCACAACACACCAACTAACTTACACTGTGGGACCCTGATTAAGTGCAATCAATATCTCGATACCATGTGTGATGGGAAGAATGCCCTCTCGTCCCATTATGCCATAGATTACAACATAAAACAAAAATATTATACCCAAGTCTAATATGGCCAATAGCATGCTTTCTCTTCCTTACACTTAGAATGAAAATAGCCAAACAGGTCTCTTTGATAAGCAGCAATTAATCGATTTTTATAACAACAATGCTCATTCAATGAAGTTGCAGAATTGGTTAACACACAATTTGGAGTATGAAAACACGTGTTTACAGAAACATCAAAAACATCCATAAGAACATGGACAATAGGAGCAGGAGAAGGTTATTTGATCCCACAAGACTGCTACACCATTCAATATGATCACTGAGCTCAATATCCTGATCCTTCCTTCTCCTCAAAACCTTGATCTCTTTGGCCACAAGAGCTCTTTCTACCACCTCCTTGAATAAATGTTTTGGCTTTAATCACATTCTGTGGTGATCTACCACCTCCTTGAATAAATGTTTTGGCTTCAATCACATTCTGTGGTGATGAATTCCAAAAGTTCGCCACTCTGGGTGAAGAACTGTCTCATAAATCACATTCCTAAAAGGTTTACCCTTATCTTTAAACTGTGACTACTGGCTCTGCACTCCTTTACAATTGGAACATCTTACTGCATCTAACTTCTCTGGTCTTGTTAGAATTTTTTCAGTTTCTCCGAGATCCCCCTCCTCATTCTTCTAAACTCCAGAGAATACAATCCTAATCCACTTAATCTCTCCTATTACATCTGCCCTGCCATCCCAAGAATCAATTTGGTGAACTTTCACTACACTCCCTCTACAGCAAGAGCACCCATCCTCAGATAAGATGACCAAAACTGTACACTATATTCTGGGTGTCATATGACTGCTAAAAAATGAAAGTTTTTTTTCCTAACAAAGCAACGTCCAAAGGCCTTTCAGTGACATTTCCCCCACCCTATTCTGCCCAGGTATTTACAGAACTTGAAATATATAAACAAACAAATAAGCAGGGCAGCACAGTGGCTCAGCGGTTAGCACTGCTGCCTCACAGCACCAGAGACCTCGGTTCCATTCCAATCCTCTGTAAATCAATGTCACATTTGTTAGGTTATTCCTCACTGGAAAAAGAAACAGCAACTAGTTTACCAATGGTAAGTGCTGGTAGGCATTCAATTTAGGATGATGCAATTAAAGAAACTAAATTGCCAGAAGCATTTCTAACAATATTGAAAAGAAAACACAAATTTTTCGTTAATAACACCGGAATTTTAATTTAATGTCTCACCACAAATTTTAAAAGTGATCGATATTATTTTCTGAAGCTTTTAGGAAGAAATACAACAAATGATATTTCCATCATCCCAATGTTCCACTTAAATAAACATATAGACCAGTCGTTGAGTTTTAAAGAAGAAACTTTCAATGTCATCATCCATTCAGGGGTAAGAAGAAGAGGTTTTTTTTTTAAACAAACAAGGTCAATACCAACATTCTTGCTTTGGTATTTCATGTGGAACAATTCAGAATGATGTTCAGTGTTAAATCCAACACGTATCTGATTTCAGCTAAATAAACTGATAAATGAGCCAGAGATGCAAATTGTCACATTGTCTTGGAGTATGGAAGAATTATAGATTTTCTAATATCTGCATTTACTAAATAGGACATTTCAACACACTGAGTTTTATCCTGAACTGGACAACAAAAATTTGATCTTTTGATTAATTTTCACATATACCAATACAGAACATGAATTAGTGACAAAATTCCATAACTGTTTCTGTATTATTTCATTGACTTCATTCTCCTCATCTCTATTCTGAAAGGGTTAGATCTAACTTTAAAATAGTGCAACACCCCCTTTAGTTTGAACCTTATCCACAAGAAGACATCTATATCCTTTCCAACTCAGGCCATTCAGGATCGTACACACTTCAATGAAGTCACCCCTCACTCTTCTAAATTCCAGTGGAAAGCAGCCCAGCCTGCTGAACTTATTCTCATAAGACAATATTTTCAATCTAGGAAAAAAGTCACTCTCTCAGTAATGAAGTATAAATTTTGAACATGTACTCAGTCTACCAATATTTACTTTATCCAATTGTTTAATGTGCATGTATCAACTTCTAAAAAATAAAGATGCTCTGCAAGAGGCATTTCTAGTAGCTTATGAACCAAAGGATTTAGCAGCATTATGTTTTATATATCAGATTACCTGTACATGGATAGTTTGGAAGATATTTTTGGTAGTTCATGTTTTTTCTGGTCATGGACATGCACAGAATAGCAGAAAAGGCAGCATCAAAACATCACTTATGAATCTG